ATAATATATAATAACATCCGGGTTTTTTTTGGTGGGTACCCGGACAAAATATGGCGTATCATTTCCTAACTATTTTTCATGGGTCAGCACATAATGTCCGACTCGAGTTATATAACAGTTTTATTGGTCAAAACAATCGTCTGTGGTCATACCCGGTCAAAGAAGAGCTCATCCCAGGGCTGCTAGGTGACATATACAGTCGAAGGGGGGGGGGCAAGGGGGTAGCTGGTAGCTTTTACGGGAAGAAGAGCTCCTCCGAATAAAATTCTCCCGCCACTGCTGCGCCGTGTGTAAGAGGCACATGCGCATAGTACCCCTCGTAATGCTCTTCATTCGGTTAGAGGGTCTTTTACGTCTTGACATTCAATTTTGCAGTGAATTGTGTCATCTATCGTTTTTACAGTTTCTAAAATGTAATTTCCCTGGATTATTCTTTACGATTTGTTTTATTTGGATGTAAATTCTTGTACGTACCGAGAAAAATGACACATTTTTACAGTGTACGAAAAAAATATTTGATTGATTACGTTGTACGTCTAGCCTGTGATTACAGAGTTACGGAATTTATTTTTTTAATTTACGTTGTACGAACAAAAAAATATTGCAATTACATGTACGTTGAACGAAAATACCCCCCCCCCCGTCACAGTCGTATACCATCATACATCTGTCCAACCCACTATTCAAATCGCGTTCAGTTCTCGTTGGACAATCAACCAATCAGAAATTACGCTACAGGTTATTTTCTAATAAGGTGAGCTACCATATCTGCTTAGAGTGCACACGTACTCTGCCAGTGTATGATATAATTAATGCATTTTCACCATGAATACTACAGCACCGGACAATACAACGGAAGAGACGAATTCAAGTTTATCATTGGGTCCGGCATGGACTTACGTACAAACAACTGAGACAGTCATCGCTGTCGTCGGGATTCTAAGCAATTTGATGGTTATTATCGTTATGCTTGGCACGCCGTCTCTTCGATCACATCTCACGTCCAGGCTCACTGCGTCACTGGCTGTAGCAGACCTACTGGCCTCCGCCTTTCTTGTACCGCGAACGTTACGAGGATTTTTCGCTGTACCGTCTGGAATAGCTGGTGAGATTTACTGTCGAACTGTCAGAGCTATGATTCTGTGGGTGAGTTTTGTGGCTTCTACTTACACTTTAGTAGCGATTGCCTTGGAAAGATATTTTGCCATCGTTCATCCGTTGCAGTATAACAGATACAAGGGAAAGATGTCGGCATTGCCAGTCATCGTGTGTGTCTGGCTTCTAGCCTTCACCGTGCAGAGTTTTAATGTCTACAACAATTCATACGATCCCGAAAGAGAAAATTGCCGCTACCAGTGGCCATTTGACGACTGGTACCAAACGTTCGTTGGTGTTGGCTTATTCTTCGCCACATACTTCGTTCCAGGGGCTATCCTATTGGTTGCGTTTGTTAGAATTCTACTTGCTCTCCGTGAAAGTGAACGTAAAGTTGTACAAGGCGCCGCAGCTCACGGTAACGCAACACCAGGCAGGATACGTACAAGGAAAAAAATTATTAAGATGTTCATAGTTGTTTGCCTATCATTCTTACTCTGCTGGGGACCCAATCAATTTCTTTTTCTAATTCTCAATATCGAGCCAGATACAGACGTTAGCGATGTCATATATAATTTTACTCGCATTTTAGCTGGCCTCAACTCATGTCTTAATCCGTTTATTTACACAGTTTGGAACAAATCTTTTCGAAACGGAATTGTAGTAATATTCTGCAGGTCCAAATTTAAAGTCGGAACTTTGGATTTCAGTCAAGGCGGTCCATCACACACGAATACGACAGCGGGACAACCGGAAAACCATAAATAATATACCTTTCGTAGAAGTGGTGCCCTCTTGCGGCGAAGTGGTTATATAGCGTAACATGTTGATGTTATGTTGCTCAAAACTACCATTTTATTGAAGTTATAGCCATTCGAAAATTAAATTATAAGAAATATCTCAAACCATGTTTTTCTGATGACTGTAGATTGGCCTTCATTTCAACCTGGGGGTAATATTCGACCAATTTACGCCTTAAAGCCCGTCATCGCAAGGGGGCGCTACTCACGAGAACGGTGTTTTCAATTATGTATGAACTAATGTTTTAATGCCGCAAATGAAAATATAACAAAATAATAACAATATTTTATATCTTGTTTGGTACTATCGACATATCCTTCATTTCTATAAATATTGTAGAAAAATAGCAACACCATTTATGTTCATTCCTATAGGTACGTCCCATGAAATTGTGGTGACTACTCAAGGAGTCCTGAATTATTTCGTCATAGTTTTGAGGTAACAAGTCACGCCGCGTATACGTGAAAAAAGGCAACGTGGTGCTTTCTTGTATATAAATAAAATCGAGAGGAGAGCGGGGGCTTGCCGGATCGCAAACCGATTTCACTGAATCTTGTCAGGACTTCGTTCGATTGGCCAGACAGCGTCTTGAATCACACAAATTGCTCAGTTTATTTAAATTGTGATATTTGTATATGCAATTGTGAGGAATAGAAACTATGCTTTGACATGCCACCAAGTGCTCGTAAAATTATGATCATCCTTCTGTGAGTGGCAGGAACTAAGATCGGAAGGCGACGCATTCCATTCAGGGCCGGCCACATTTGTTACACGTGATCGATATTACAATAGCCAATTGGAATACAGCGTTTATAACCATCGTCACAAGCTCATTATAAATTCAGTCCGAAGCCCGTCAAGTGTCTAATCCACGACTGACTGTTACCACGTAACGCAGCACTATATTCGAGGTGTACTTGGACGGGAATTGCTAGTGCTTATACCTTAAAGCGGAAACTATAGTTGAAATCTCTGACTGAAA